TATTACGCAACGACTGTATTTACTTAATAATCATACACTTTAGTACTAGCGTAATTTTTGTTTGTTGTATATATATATATAGATAGACTACTTTGTTTGTGACATAAACAAACAATTTATTTATTATTATTATTTATTATTATTTTATTGTTATTTTTAGTTATTATCGGTGATTGATTATTTCAAAGGTTAAACCGCAGCAAACAAAAGAAAAGAAACCTCTCCGATAGATGGATGTGGTAGATAAAAAAAAATAAAAAAAAAATAAAACCAAAAAGGTAAGGAAGGAAAAATCAATTTTTTTAACATCAGATGATAGTAATAGTGAATAATTAGTAATTAGTAATAAATAATATATAAATTAATAAAATAAATAAAAATAATAATCATTAATTAGCGATATGTATAATGTAAAGAGTAAAAAAAAAAAAAAAAAATATTTAAATCAAAGAAACGTCTCATTTTTTTCATCTCATGCTTCCCAAAAAATTGTTTAGTAAAAATTTATTTTTTTATCGTTCGATCGCTCATCTTATTCATCTTATTTCCCGTACCACTGTTTATTTACAAAAAAAAAAAAGTAGATCAGTGTTACGGGATTTGAGCAATCTTTAATAAAATAACAACAAGAACAAAACAATGCGCCAAATCACCATCACCAATATCCAACATTAACGATAAACATGATAGAGATGAAAAGACAGACCTTTATGAGTCTAACGAGAGGATTAAAACCAAATCACCACCATCAACATCCAACATTAACGGTTATTATAGTATACAGAAAACTATAATTAACTTGTTTCTTTTTGGTTTCCTTCTCTACGTTATATATTTCAGCTGAAACATCAAGTATTTTCTTTTTCTCATATAATCCTGAAAATCATAATTTGATTAGATGTTCATTCTTATGCTAACATTCATGTTTATTCTTATCCCTTTTTTTTTATAGAAAAGAGAATAATGAATTGGATGTCATGTCAAATTTTTTAAGAAATTTCCAGTTTCAAATGACCTTGGAAAAAAGAGAAAGTGGATTTTGTACACAATTAAAGACTAGTGCCGTAAATTATGATTATTGTATTTATGGCATATAAAAAGTGGTTGCAATTACCTTTGCGACCACTTTTGCAACTATACTTTTCCTTTTTTGGATTACGGTGCTAGTCTTTATACACAATACAACCTGACAACATTGTGCATAATTATCATTCTTATGATAATCACAATCTCCCTTCATCCTGTTTTCCCCAAGTTCATGAAAATATTGCTACCAAAAGTGTTTATAAGATGACAAAGCAAATTTTACTCACTTATTCAGAGAATAAAACTAAATAAGAAGGCCATGTGTGGATAGTTTAAAATTGACAATAGGACTGAATATTTTGGTGATTGGTCAGAGGAGTTCTTCTGTAGGAAGGTAAAGTTATCCCATCACTTCAAAGAAGATCCAGATATTTTCATTCATTAAAGTTGTAGAAAATAACATATATCTTGCTATTATAGAATTCAAAAACAAAATCGGAGAGGGTGGATACTATTCAAAGTATATTTTAAAAAAAATTGAAAAGGGAAAAAACATCCTAACACCTGTCTTCCTACCTTTCTAATATACATAATGGGACCAGGGTTGGCAAATGTGCAGTCCATTGATGGTCTATTGGTGGTCTATTGGGTCCATTAGTGTAACACTTTAACCATATTTAGTGTTTTATTAATGGCAATGGACCAGTCAATTTGCCAACCCTGAATGGGACTGATGATAGGAACTGCTGGTGCAGTCTATTCACACGAAATCGTAATTCCTCCACCAGTTAGTACTTCTCTGATAAACTTACTGACAAAAATCACCAGAATATTTTGTGGATTAAAAGCAGGATTGGATAGTATCAACAAATTTCATGACCAGAGATGCTGGATAATTCATTATATTGTGAACAGGCAATATTTTGTTATATTCAACAGTATGTTTCTCAGGACTATACATGCAGCCCAAAGTATTTTGACACCATCATAAAGGGAGTTACTTTCTACCATCAAAATCACCAAACCAATTTGGGCTGCATGTATACTCAGGTCAAAGATCTAATAAAATTTGTATATGTGGAACAATTATTATTGCAAAATCAACCTGTATTTTGCATAAAGAAAGGAATTAATTGTATCATAAAATTTGTGAAAACATATGGGAAAATATGATCTCATTGAAAAGTCATGTATTTGTTAATATTTTAATTTTTATGTAATCACATTGTCATCTTCATCACCAACAACACTAAAATCTTCTACACTATTATTTTCAAAAATTTTTATATATAATACCAATGATAATACATCATTTTCAATATTAAAAACAAAAAAAATTTATTCATTATTAGATAAGAATCTATTTATTTATTTTGCATTATTTAAAAAAAAATTTAAAATTTCTTATATGTAAATAAACAATATAACAGTCAATATTACAGTTAGGAACTTATGTTATGCATATTGAAAAATTACAGAAAAAAATAAAAAATAAAATCAAAATTAAAAAATAATTCAAAATATATGCAGTGCTTATATTTAAGTGGTGCTTATACTCAAGAGAACACAGTATTCATGTTTGAAATTTGAAATTTTAGATTTACCCTATTCTGCAAAAAATCTTTTTTTTTTTTTACAAAATTTAAAATTTGATTTATAAATCTTACACAGAGGATAAGATTATATTTTTAATAGTAAAATAAATCTTAATCAAATCCTAAGATTAAATAAATTTTGATCATCAAATTTCTGAGGAAAGACTATATAGTTCAAATCAAATTTTTAATTTCTGAGGATGATGCATGTTAAATATAAGTATTGTGAGATCAAAATTCCGCGTCTCACACAAATCTCTTGATTTCGTTAAACTATTATTTTTTTTGTGGCAGT